ACTTTATAAATAAGGCAACCAGGTCAAGAAAATGCCTGCTGATAGCAAGGGTAAAATGACATCCTTTCAAGATGTTTGACGGAACTTTAACTTCAGGACAGCCACAGCAAAACAACTGAAGGGTCCGACAGCTGAGGTTCCTTTAGGTTACGTAGCCTACTGCTAAGGTAAGTTCTTCTGTCCCTCTTTATAAAAGTACATGGCAAGACATGAAATTTCCTATTATAAACATTAACACAGTACATGTTCTATTACATGACAGCAGCAATGAGTAACTCCACTTAAAAAAATCCCAAATCCACGTACCAGTTTCTCTCTCACGAGAGGAACAGTGAACGGAACACACTACACAAAGGACAGGGACTGTGTATTTCTCAAACACAGTGTATGTCATGCTAGTAAAAACAAAATGGTAGTGAAAATTAAATTTTCTTAGAATTGTCACAGGCTCAGTTTAATATCACATGGAGTTTCTAGATGTTACAAGGCTACCTGTATCTCTGTACCGACATACCTCTTAATACTGGGGTATGGCAAAAGTAGCTACCTGCAGCCATTGGTCATGAAGCTCAGGATTACTTGTAAGTATTCACTGCAGAGGAAGTTGTAACTCTCCTTTAAAAAAAGTAGTCAGTCATTTTGGGTATGAAATACAAACATTTTTGCAGCCACTAAAGGGAATAATAAAAACCAGCAAGAGAAGCATGATTTTCACAACTGAATTATCAGTACGTTTAAGTGCTTTGATATTTTTTAAAGAAGGCTGCTTAATCAAAAGCCATTTAAACCAAAAGAGAAAAATAATTTTAAGTATGAAATTACAAAATATTGCGTCTTATAACAAATGATAAACTATAACTAACTTGGTTCAGCGTAGCTAAATAGTATTTTTAAAAAAAGCATGAAAATGTCTTTTTAAAAAAGGTTTAACACTACAAATGACCTTCTAAAAAGGTGCTGCTGTATGTCTTGCTAAATGTACCATGTTGTAAACAAACACATTTGTGAATATGTGAATTCAACTCTTATTTCTCATGATGCTGTGGTCACTTGTTACTTTTCATACTGACACACACTTCTTCAAACTAAGAAGAAAATGTCTTAGTTGCATGTTACTGAATTTCAGCTACTGTAGTGCAACTAGGAATTCTGCTCATTCTGGAACATCACACTGCTACATAGCAAGCTTCTCTGCAAGGAGCTATTTAGTTGGATTTTCAAGCAGACAATATATTCAATGCAGTGAAGGGTATGTTTTATAGCTGGCTTGATGTCTTGGCCAAATCCCAAAGTTACTCTAAAAGCAAGAATTTTCCCAACTCAGAATGCCCCCCTCAATTAACTGGCCACACATTACTAATCCTATATAAAAAGTGCTTAAGAATTGGGCATTCTTGATTATATAAAATGCAGATCTAAAGAGTGTAGCTTTCTGCCCAAACCAGAATTTTCGGAACAAATTAAAGAAAAAAAGTGACCCGAAAATTAACATTTCAGGCCATTTTTTCCATATACTGAATCATTTGCCAAAGAAAGACTGTTTCTTTGCCAAGGTAAGCCTCCTGTGGAATTGATGGTCACAACTGCTGGCTCTGAAATTTCAGAAATGAAGAGGAAAAGTAATCTTCAACTGAGGTGTCTTTTCTCAGGTCAATGGCTGTGAATCACCTGTTTGGGAAAAAAGAAAAGAAAAGGAACATCTGAAAAGCTAAACAGCTGTTTAAATACTCCCTGATCAATATATTAGGCCATTCCAACATGCAATACTGAGCAGCATCTTCAAATGCCTTGATTCTCTTTGCTCCCAGAGTAATGACACACTAACTCTGGAGCCAGGACACATAGAGTATGACCAGGTCTTGTTTTGGCTTCTGGTATTATTGGCAGTGAACACAGATTACAGTTTGAAGAGGCCCAAAATATTGGATTAGAAGACTATGGAGAGCAAAAGCTCTCTTCTTATCTGTTATTTTGTCCATCACTCTCAAGAACCCACGTTTCGCGTTACTGATAGTACTCTTAATGCACTGTAGTGATTTATCTGTACCATTATGTACACACGCAGAGACTTGTGATACTTTTGCTAACCAGTAATCTTCTGATTTTTCATACAGAAGCCACTGCATCTTTACACTGCTTGTTCAGCTGTACTTCCAATACACAGAATGCCTCTACATTTTTGTATGTGGTTTAGAGTATCTGTAAGGAAGGAACTGCTCTTAGAAAAGTTAGTCATAACTTTATGTAGAAGTTAATTCATAAAGTAAGTAATACATGAGATGACTAGACCTCCTGGAAAAATGAGTTATTATTAGTATGTCTTCAATCATTAATGAAACCACTTCAGTAGGTATTGTTAATACTCCTTGCACATACATTTAGATGCTTTTTGGCACTTGATAAACATACATCATGATATCAGATTTAGCCTTCATTCCTAAGACAAATAATTGCATTACATTTAGCCTATAAGGATATAAGTGTATTAAGCATAGTTCATCACATATGAACCAATATACTTTTATATAACTGTTTTCAACCTAAAATCTCTATGCAACTGGTTTTTTGTATGTGCAGAGCTTAGTTAAAAATCAGTAGGTCAATCTTAAAGCATGGTATTAAGTGGATAACCTTGTAGTAAAAAATACTATTCTGCAATTTCTACAACAGACTTTCATTAGATTTTAGTCGTGTCATAAATTATGGGTAACCAGTCTATCTGTTCAAGCAAGCACAATAATCTATGTGAAAAGTACTTATTCAGCTGAATTTCACAAGGGCTTTGTCTCAATCTCTGTTCTCCCAGATTATTTCATGCAATTCCATAGCAGTGGCCTGTTTTTCCTTTCTGAGCTGTTAGCTATTTTGTACAACCATTTTTCAATCGGATCTGTACTATCTGTTAAGTAGTCTCATCTCATAGCAAAATATGGTATTGGTAGGAGAAAGCAGGTCCCAGATGTGTGAAGAACTCCAAGGAGCACACACTCAGAATTCTGTCACTGCATCCTGCCTTAGGTCCAAGTGACTTCATGGGACCTCAGCACTGGACAGGAGCGCAGCCTTAGAAGGGGAAGATGCCGTAACTGTAGACTGGTAAAAGAGAGACAACAACCAGTGCACTACAGGTACTGAATGGCAGTGATTTTCAACCTGCACTCTCAACTGCTTCTACCAGGCTGCAAAAGATAGCAGAAGAAAACGTGTATTTATATTGTATGGCAATGTACACATATATCTAAGAGGATACACTTCCAATGGAAAATGTTTAGGTGGTCCACCAACTAGACTAAAAAAATTCAAAGTCACTCTTGTATACATTCCTTTTTTTTTTTCTAAATAGCCCACAGAATTAAAGAGTATTCTTGCTAAAAAATGCAAACAAGATCCCCAAGAATAAGTTAGATTTACTAAAATTATAAAGTCAAATCACCAAGTTTAAATTTGCTCAGTTATCTAGAAAATGAAAAGAGAATAATTGCACTGAGAAAGACAAATCAATTCCAAGACATGTCTTTTCTTATATCTGCCACTTGATTTCTGAAGGGCTGTGGTAGTAGGGGTTTTCAGTGCGCAAGTAATAGAAAAAAGGTACATCCAAGCAAAATTATTTTCACTTTGAGTTTCAGCAAAAGTTAGGTACACCTGCACTCCTTGATTTTCAACTCCAAAACTAGCGGTACAATTGGTATGGAATAGAAAGAGCATGCCATAATTAAACAGTATAAATCATTACTGTGGCCAATGGCTAGTTCATGAGGAAGTAAAGGCAACATTTATTTTCCTTTTTAAAAATTTTAAACATTATTATCTGAAAATAGCATACCAATGGAACAGTTTGAGTCATAGTATTTAATAATCACAACAACATTCAGCACATGTTGTGCTAAGTCACCATCCCTTTTTAAATGGCTGTAGCATTTTATCAATAGTCACTCTCCAGCTACGATAATAACTAACCAAGGTAGAAATGCCTGATTGTAAACATTCAAAAAGGTTTTCTTTTTCCTACTGCTAGCTATGTTGCAAGGATTATAAATATTTATCTTCCATACTCTTGAACTAGCCTTTGATTTCTAAACAGATTTTTAAATTCTTTACAGATTGTCATACCTCTCTCCAAATGTTAGGTTTAGTGGGAGCTTTCATTGAGACTTAAGTTCACCACATGCCAGGAGCAGAAAAGAACCACCACAGAATAGTGCCATATGCTGTTGTTGTAATCAAGAACCTCTTTGCGCTACTGATGAGGCCATAATTGTGAAAACTAATCTCTTGACAATTTCTGGTTTGTTCTGAAATTATTAATTTCATCTGCTGGAATCTAATATCTGTACTTGCAGGCACTGTAGCTTAGTATAACACAAGTTCATGGGATTCGTATGAGTAGCAAAAGTACATTTGTATATTTACTGTGTATAGTCTGGAAATTCAATTAAGTCAGAGAGTTTACAGATTGAAACCAAATTATCAAAAAGTCAGTCACACAGGGTAACCAGTGACATTTCAATGCGTTCAGCAGTCAAATCTAATTGTCCTTTACCTGGAGCTATTCAGTCTGAAGTGATAAACATGCTAAATTTTTACAAGGCCAGAAGTAATCAGAAAGTAAGTACAAGGTGTGTACAAGAGTGATTGTGCTGCTTTGTTACTTAAAAGCTTTTTAAAGCTTTTTGGTAAGCTGCAAACAGCCCCTTTAAATTTACTAAGTAAAATAGAGCTTTTCATAGGAGCAGTCCTGTCAATATTCAGCAAAAGTATTCAAATAATAAAAGGCTAAGATGTTGCCTAAAAAAAAGTTTTCCTTACTATAAACTGTAAATTCTTTGAAAAGTCAGTGATACTAAATTCGTACGTGCATGTTTTACCACACTGGATGTCAGATAGTTTAGTCACATTCATACTAAGTCTCCTAGAATGCACAACCTGAGGCTTAGCTGCTACTGTTATACAAAAAGTGTTGAAGAAATATTTTGTTTTAAATGTAGGTTAATTACAGGTTAATTTTCCCAGTCTGTGCAAGGCAAACTCTCCTCTTCATCCTCTGATTCAGGGGATGCTTCCTTAATTCGTCGCAATGCTTCATGGATGCTCCTTGTCAGAGGGTCAGTATCAGGCAGAATTGTAAAGGATTCTCTCAAAACATCTTTCTGCACTTTCTTCAGTTTCACCCCTTTCCTGATCTGTGCCAAGATGTTATTGCTATCATCTTCATCAGGAAAAGGAGGGAGACTTCTCTGCTCAACTTTTCTTAAGTGAAAGCTGCCACGTTTCAAGGAAGCCAGCACTTCATCCATCGGGGAACTCACTGCAGTAAATCAAAAGAACTCCAGTATTATTGTCACTAAATTTTATCAGTCTTCATTTATATGTCCTACAGACCAAAAAGTAGCTGGATACTATTGATGCAATAGTCCCATACCATAAGTATAACAGTAACTCCACTATTGTTTTAGCCTCCAAATTTATCTTACCTATTACTAGGTCAAAACTGGTTTAAACAGACAATTATAATTTCTAAAACCACTTGACCTCCTATCAGGTAGGTAGTAAAACTTTCTGAACAAGATTGCTTTCCTGATTGCTTTTGATTTTCCAGGGAAATCAAAATAGCTGCAATGAATCCAGCATAATTAAAGTATTTATTACATTATCCTTCTCAACTTTGAAACTCAGGTAATGAGTATGTATCTTAAGTATTGGACTGTGCAGTTTGCATTTTGTGGCTGATTTTACTTACTATTTGACTATTACTACATGCCAGTGAGGGAAGCAACAGTATAGTCAGCTGCAACAACATGCATTTTCCTGCTTAATTCATGTAGGTATTAGCACCTAGTCACAGTATGCCTACATACATTCCCTTCCTTTATAATTAATGGAAACAGAGAGGTAAGAGTTAATAGTTTATGACAAATTCTTCCTTTATCACAAATTTGAAACTAGTTCTCTGCAGAAATGAAAATCAGGCTTTTTGAAGAGCTACAAGTAGGTAAGATCTCTATCCAAGAGAATGCATTACAATAAAGTACAACAGTTTGAAATAGCTTGCATACACTAGCAGAGACAACGTGCAACACATATCAATCAATAGATGAATATCCACATCCAGTTCTTTTTGTACATTGCAGAATACATTTTTAAAACCTGTTTTGCATGTATGAGTGGGCTTTGTCCATCAGACTAATGGCCCACACTGCTGGAACAGACACGAAGAAAAGAGAAAAGAATACAAGACTCCACATTTGAAGGAGGAAGGATTGTAAAACACTCATCTGTCATACAGAGACAAATTTCTGAAGCTACTTAGAGACTTGGAAGATCTCAGGGAATACAGAGCAGCAGGTAGAGTGCTGCTGCAGACATTAACAATATTCTTAAGAGGGAGGATATAATTTGATTTTCTATTCGTGATTTTATGATGTATATCAAATTGCACACACAATACATGCTTTATATAAAACTGCAAGATAAAATGGGTATCAAAAAATAAACAATAGGACTACAGAAAAAGAAAAATGGAGCATAGCAGCATCAAAATTGATAATGAACTCCAGACGCTGTACCTGTGACCTGCAAGACTCGTAAGAGCTTAAGAATTCTGTAACTATGCAGTTGCTTCAAGGGTTTTGAATTATTTAAGGACATTTCTAGAGGAAACAGTCTTGTTTCTGTCTGATTGATGAAGACAGTTCTAATTTTGATTTTATCTGGATGAGGGAACATGTCAATGGGGGGATGTTTTCTGTAGTACTAATTGGCAGAGCCAGATAGAATTTTTAATACAGCCATAGAATATTTATTACAGCCATATTACAGCAGTGTGAATCAGGGCCCACTCAAGGTACTTTTTCTCTGTGACTTCCAGTAAAATAGTTCAGCTGAGTGCTTTTGAAAATTGCATCTCTGATCTTCAAATAAAAACTTAGCTCCAATATAGCATGTGTCGCTGAAACACCAGGATTATTTTGTTGAAAATGCTTGCCATTCTCCCCATTTTATCTATGGAATAAACAGGTAAAAGCAAGGAGCACAGAATCAACAAGTTGTAACAGATCTCCCAGCTCAGCGCTGTGCTCTATTCATTCTCCTCCATTTCCATGAAGTTTCTGATCTTTTAACATTTATTAACATGCTTAGCTGCATGATTACAGATTTTATTTCCAATTGTAGTTAAATTTATATATTCTTACTCAGCTCTCAACAGTACTTGAGGATTTGTGGATATTTGTATGAAAATTTGAAGAAACTCCGAAGATAGCATTCCCAAGGTTTCCACTGTCCCAAGACAAGTATTCATTTTATTAGGTCACAAATTATGTAAAATTGTGTTATTAAAAAACCACTGCACCCTCAGGTGAAGCATATAATATTCACAGTGCTGACTGTAAACTAGATAGGAAAAGATTCTTTTAGGCAACGTTTAGCTCCATTTTCTAACTAGTCTAACATGGTGCATCATAGAATCTGTTTCACAAGTGTTTTCAGTCCAATAGAACAAGTTGCTGTTCTTTACAATGCATGCTGTCATAAAGGGCCTAACATTTGTTGGAGTTGCTGACATTTGTCAACTGAAAAGGATTTAACAACTTTCCCATTAATAATTATAAATTAATCACAGCATACACTTTTCTATAGAGCAATTCAAAAGAGGAACTGATGTGCGTTACAATTAAATACACAGAAATGAAAACATTACCTCTCCTCCTCTGCAAACCCTCTAGATCACCGGTCTTCTTAAGCTTCTTCTTGGCACTGACAAGCTGACTGCTATCAAACAGATGTGCTGGTGGGACACCAGAAGAGTGCTGGACTCCTTTCTCCTCACTCTGACGTTTAACAAAGCCATCACTTTTCTCTAAGGATTTGGTGGCATCTTCCCTGGAGGGCAAAGGTGGAGGCGGAGGTGGAGGTGGTGGAGGCAAAGGGGCTGGAAGTGGTAGTACAGTAACAGTCTCTGGTTGAAGCTCATCGCTGGTAAGTGGAGAAGTGCTAACATGAGGCAGTCCAGAGGTAACACCATTGGGAGGTAATGAGATATCTTGAAGTTGTTCTAAGCTTGTGGATTCCTGCACTTCCAAAGGCTGAACTGCATTTTCCAATTCCACCTCTTCACTCTTCTCTTGGATTTGTAAGGTTGCTGGCAAAGAATGAGGCTGATCGACACAGGACATTGAGGTGGCTGCACATTTTCTTCTTGCATGAGCCAGCCGTAGTCTGGTTGATTTAAGTATTACTTGCCCAGGGTACCGCTAAAGTGAGTAAGTTATTGACAATTAGATAAACACATGCAACGCAATATTCTAGATACTAAGTTCCTATTGTTATGGTTTGCCTTTCTGACAAGTAGAATTCATCTGCTATTTTCATTCATTTTGCTCTGGATGTGAAACCAAAGCAAATATATCCTCACCTTTATGCCAAAATTATCAATTTGCTTAATTTTTATTCTTGGTTAAGCCACAATTTACATGTGATTGGTCTAGTCAGGGGCATACATGGGTTAGAATTAGGATTTCACTGAAAACCAGACTGTACATTCAAAACTGTTTTTTCTGAAAACTAAAATTCGAAATTCCCTCTTGGTTTCCTGTTCTAAAACTGGTCAATGGCTCCCTCTGCAACAAAGCCCTCTTGGACTTAATAGACTGGCCTTAGATGTGAATCATGGTACTTAAAAAGGTATCTCTTGAAAACATCAAACATTTTGAGGCTTTCCAAAGTATTTTTAATTTAGTTCTTAAATTTGCTGCCTCAATATCTGTCTTTTCATTAGTTTCATCCATAGCCATTTTTATGCAAAAATTTAAACTGCTTCTGAAAGACAGGTCTAATACATTTATACACAATTGTGGTAGGGCTATAGCAATAGAGATCCCAACAATATAAATATGTTTATACATTAAGTCAGTTCATTAACAGTTGCTGTTTAAAATAAGTAAATTTGCTCTACTTTACAGAAGCTATGCAATTCAAAAGCCTTCCAAACAATAAGGACATGAAGAGTGTACTGCTGAGCAAGACAGCTTTCCAGTAAAGAAACTTCTCATACCTGTATTTTTAAACGTATTCAGCAAAACCAGAAAAAGTCTTCACCAATTAATATAGTCTCCGTTTTCTTGCATTTTCACCCCTTTCCTTACTCTCTCCCCTTCATTCCATCCGTTTTCTGGTATTTCCATTACAATAGGAAGAGACAGGTGTTCTAGCAATCAGTGGTAGTGGGGTTATGTCAGAGGGCAATGCTCTTTGTGGGAAATACCATTTAGATTATACTTCTTTTAGGAACGTTTGCTAAGTGTCTTGTCACAACGTTTAGATGTAACAGTGAGCAGAAACTTATTATGGCACTGGGAATGTAACAGCCAGAGGAATTTGTTACCACCAATGCCATATTTTGTTGTAATTTTTCCAAGTAACAGTTAACTATACAATGAAAGAGCTGATAGCATAATATAGTCCTGGAAAGCGTGGAAATTTCTTTTGCAAAAGAAACTGGTGGAAAAGTACAACTCTACTTCTATCACCTGTTTAAATGTGCGAAGTCTGTCCAGTGTTTTCTGTCGTTCCTGACTAACCCAGGAGCTCTTTCTTTCTTCTTCATCTTGTAATCGATCTCGCTTCTGAGAAAATAAACAGAAAATACATAAATATTACATCCAATGCTATGTTTATCATAATTTTTAAAAATGAATTAAAATAACACTTCTACTAATTGTTAGGAATTACCTAACAATCTACTTCTTAAATAAACACATGCCTGAAATTCAAAACTTGGCCTTTGTCTTCACCTTAAAAAAAATTACGTATTTCCTATTTTATAATCTCGAAGAAATAGAAAGCTCAGTAAAGAAAGATTTCAATCTGGAATTGGAAGAATTGAAGACCTGTTACCTTGAAAGATGAGAAAGAACTAAAGATGTGACAGAATATTATACTGAAAAAAGCCCCCTTAAATTGAAAATGGTATAAATTAGCCAGACAGCAAAACAGTATCCATCTTCTCTCATTCCAAGAACAAAATTATAGTCCAAATTGCAAGGCTGCCCACTTAAAAAAGTCGTATTAGTATTTTCACAGTGCAAGAAATCACAGAACTCAGTGACATAAAGTTTTGAATCCAATACTGAGCAAATTATGTAAACATTGTCATTTTAATTTACAACAGTAAATGAAAGTTTTGTATTTAATTAACTTAAGATGTCATTATTTAATCCAGCTTGATTTTCTGCAGTCTGACTTCAATGAAGGTTTGAAGCTCTTCCTTGCAGCTAAGACAGTTGTATTTTTTCTTGTTTGGGGATCTTACCTCAGTGAAAACACACATTTGGATCCACCTCCTTTAACTAGCCATCCATTCTCACAAAAGTTCAGGGAAGTTACTATGTCTTTGCAACAAAACACTACTCTTCAGTCAAATGTATTGAAAGTGAATGCTAGCTGTCAGATCGTGAAAGTCATTGTATGCAAGTTCAGAAGTTACCAGGCAAAGTGATAGAACAGGTGACTATAAAAAAAAAAAAACTGAGCAAACCCAGCAGCTTTAATTCTTAAAAACTCACAGCATTAATTACTTTTAAAAGCCCATCTTCATCATCGTAATTAAAAACTCTGATCACTTTTGTGAACTTCTATTGTCATTCAGTCAATACAAAAACAGTGTTTGCCTGCCTGCCATTTTCAGAACTCAGCTAGTTGCTTGGTGTCCTTCATAAAGGGCCAATTTCTGTGATTTGGAAGGAGGTAACTATAAAAGGAAAACATGTCTGAGAAATAGTAAGGACAGGAAACAGGAAAAGGTGAAGAGGAACAGAAGCATGTGGCGAAAAGAAAATAACAGAGCAATGGGGCAAAGAAGTTAAAACAGAAGTATAAAGAAAAGATTATAGCAAGAAGAAATGATAATTCTACCACCATGCCTGCACGTTACATATGCAATCAGGTCAAACTTTTCCTGAAGCAGTCTCAGACCCAAGGGGGTTTTTTGTTTGCTTTGGTTGTCTTTTGTTCTGTTTTGCTTTGTTTTTAAATAAGTAGTGAAATTGCAATTCTTATTTTGTTTCAGGTATGGACACCCTTGAGATTTTCTTTTCAAAGTTCTTCATGAAAACCAGTGGCTTAAAACCTATTTTATATTAATAGTAGAAATTTTCAGTCACATTACTAACAGAAAAGAAAAAAAAAAGCATAAGTTCTTTATATAATGCAAATGCCAACTCTACGAAATAAATAACAAAAGAGCCCTTCAGTGTTTGAGAGACAAGAAAGATCTTCAACTTTGTCAAGTCTTATTTTTAAGAGTGATAAAGGGACTACAATCCACACAGCAAATTCCTTTGTCTTATTGTAAGAACTGAAAAAAACCCCAACATTTTTCTAAGTTCCTGAAAGAGTATGCCAATATGTACTGTCTTTCACAAGTAGCCTTTTCATAAAATAAATTATGCAGCTGACTTCCTGGACAAATGTATCAACGTTAAAAATGTATAAGTATGAAATAGAATCACTTTCACTAATCTAACTGAAGTCTGAATTAAAGAGACTTGGATTTCAATGCATCTTTGTGAGTGATCTTTATTAAATATTGATACTATATCAGTTCCCAAGACCTAGCCCAGAATTTGAATATTCTTTAACGTAAAGTCTATTGTGTTCAGCACAAGAGTTGGACGAGCTAGTCTGTTCTCTGCAATGAGACTGTGCAGAGAATTGTGGAGCATACAGCTGGAACTACATCTTCATACAACACAATTCAAGTGATTACTTTTGTAGAAAGAAGAAAAAAACACAACCAAACAAGCTTACTAAGACACAAGAATAAATCTGTACAGCTTCCTTACTCACTTCAGCATATCTGATGCAGTAGTCAAAGATGTCTGGAATCATTTATGTGCATATGATAACAAACTGCGTGCAGCCTAACCCTCACAGTAATCACTTTGACCGTGAACCTAGCATTAAAGAACTGCTTCAGTTGCTTGGGTTCACTGTCATCCTACAACAGCTATATACTCCCCCTAACCAGCATAATATGATACAGAAATCCATGGTGCAAAGGTCAAGGATACACACTATCATTTTAGAACACCTAGCACTCTGAATACTCTCCTAATTAATGTATAATGAGGAATGCAAGCTATTAACTAGAGGCTAAACTCAACAGCAGAAAACTCAAACTTACTAGCTGAACAGTATGGTGCATTTTGTATTCCTCCTCACTCTGGTGACGCTGCTGGATCTTCTCATTATGCTTTGCAATACAGATCTCCTGTAGAGACATAAAATGTTATCTATAAAATATGAATTTCAAATATTGATTTACAGGGTGTAATGTCATATTTAGCAAACAGCACTAAGAATTCGAAAAATAAAAATTAGAAAGCTCATCTCAGACAAGTTAATTTAACTTACAAGAAAACCATAAAATGGAAACAAAACCATGAGAGACAAACCCAAACCTATTACTTTTAACTGTCAAAAGAATATACACAAGTAACAGCTGCTTGAAAAGACTCTTCTACAATACCAGTACAAAAGTGGCAACAATCACTGAAAATATTTCATAAAACCCTTGTGTATTTGTATACATGGATAATAACTAACGCTCAAGTATACTACATATTTCTGTTTGTGCAACTAGGCAGCTTCCCATTTATAAGTGTGAGTTCACCTTTTGCATGTACAATCTGCAAGCACAAACATTAATAAAGTTGTTACAATTTTATGCATGCACAAGCAAGTTCACTTACATTACAGAGTTCACGTCTGTAATGCCTCATTTTTTAAAAAAAGCATTTATTACATTGCCTAAAACTAAGAACAGGTTAAAAAACCCCAGTCCATGTTACAACAGATGACAAGAAAGAGGATGACACTCAAACTTTAGGTAGATGATATAAGAAGAACTGAATTAAGTATCAGTTACAAAGAAAAGGCATGTGCAGGAATTTAGAGTAGTGACAAGACAGACAAGTTCATAGGACAATACTGACTGAGGGCCAGGAAATTAGACAGTATGGCTACGAAGTTAGGCCCAGTACAAACACTACACAGAACCAGAACAAAGTCAGATGTGTCGTTAGAAACAGATCTCATGGCTGTATAAGAGGGGGCAGTGTCAGGAGGCAGTTTGGAGTGTGACTGCAACTAGAACAACCCAGAAACGACGGGCTTCCCAGCTTCCCAGGCACCAGTCACCTTGACTTACTGGGTGGAGCCAGACAGGAGCTCTGCCTCTGCAAGCATTGCTTGGGGCAGCTGGTGGAGTTACCAGCCATCTACTACCAAGATACTACACCAAAAGACACAAAAACAAGGAAGGAAACCCACAATTCCAGATCCCTGGAAATGCAGCAAAAGCTACGTTCTACAAGCTGACTGTGGACATACTGTGCTCACATAAAAAGGCAGCCAGTGTTCCTGTATAGGACAGAAATACCATGCTGTCTGGAATGCTTCTAAACAGTAAGACCGTCAGTATTGCCACTGTATACAGGTAACACTCCAACAAGTGCATAAGTTTCTGTGGAAATACTGTCCCAGCTTCATCAGAGATTATATACACAGCTAAACACTGCTGGGTTTTGTTTGTTTGTGGAGTTTTTTTCCCTGATGAAAAGACTTTAATTAATACAGCTGGAAAAGTTAATCCATTTAATTTTTAACTGCAAAAGAACAAACTACTTCATTTCTGCATTTCAAAGACATAGCAACAGCTTCAGATATTATTAGAGAATCTGAAAGACTTTTTGTAATACTACTACTGTTTCACCTTTATAGTTTATTCTCTATTTCTGTGTTAAGTTTGATTAAAAGTCTTCTAAAATAACAAGGAATGTATGTTATGAGATATAAAAAAGTATTTTAAAATAATGAGAAAATGCGTGTTAGGTTTGGGTTTTTGACATATCTCACAAATACTTTGGGGGCACTCTTTTATGAAACATTTTCTCTCTAGCATCAGTATTTAAATCTTTCTGATCAAGAGCAATAATGAAAGATATTTTAAGCATGTAAAGAGGATACACCAGACCAAACATATTTGGTGTTGACTTTGTACTAATAAACAACCTACTTTAATGTAATTAGATCTGACTTCAAATAATAAAAAAGACTAGGAGGGGCTGAAAACATTGCAGTACAGGATTAGAGATCTGAATCACCTTAATTAATTACAGAAATGGTCAAAAAAAAAGGTTGCCAAAAAAGGTAGGGACAAATGCAGTCTTCTACTTGTACACAAGATTAAGTGACTGCGAATAAAGGCTGAAGTAAAAAAAAAAAGCCTGGTGGCAGCATTCATGAAAATTATCTCGATTATTATGGCAGATGACAAGTTGAACATAAACCAACAAACTCTTGAGAAAAAAAGAAAAAATCATAATTGGGTGTGTAAGCAGGAATACAGCCTGCTGCACATGTGAAACAGTCCTTCCTTCTCAGCTCTTGGAAAGCCAGAGCGTTATGTCCAGTCCAGACTTCAAGTAAGTTGTTGACAAACTGTATGGAATTGAGAGAGCATAAAGAAGTAATGTTCATTTCTTTTTTAATCACCTGCCTGATTTCACAGTATCAAATTTTACTCCTGTTAAAGAGACAAAAAGGGAGAGCTGAGGAACCACTTCAACCTTCATCACTAGATAAGCTACCATGTTTAAGATTAGTAGCGTGCAATATACATAAAAGAGATCTGCATTAGTATATTTAACTAGTTCCAGTAAGCCTTGCTTTCAGATTGAAAAGTAACCCAATTAAAAGGTTAGCTTCTCATGTAGTAAGCTTGGTATGTGTAGAAACTATATTTTACTATAAGCATTCTATGTATTTATGCCCTTATATTGTAGTAGTAATAGTAGTAGTAACAACAGCAACAACAATAATGAGATGATGATAATGATGAAAGCATACCAAGTAACCCTATGCCAGCTGTCACTGCATCTACATAACAGCTGTTTTGACATGGGCTATCCTTTAAACTGTGGGCTTGCAAAGTAGTAAAGGTGTCCTATTAGATGCGCACAACAGCATGTGAGGAAGCTTACTAGATGAAAGCACGTATTATGAACATATCCCAAACAGCTTCACCAACTAGTTGCTTCTCCTAGTCTGCTCATGATGAGGAATACTCTTCCTGGATGTAAAATAATTCAATTTCTCCAAAACTCTGTTTTTCCAAAGATATTTTTCTAGACATCTTCTACATCATCTTTTTAACCTTGATTCTTTGCTGTAAATCAGGCTCCCTAATAAAACAGCTGCTTATTCCATATGATAACCTAATTAATACTGCTGTGCAGCCAGCAGGGGGTAGACTGGGATAACAACAGCAATATTCTGCATGAAAAATCCATAACTAGCTTTCAAGAAGTAAGAAAAATAATGAGACTGCTGTTAAAGTCTTACTTTTGAATGACTGTCATCAACACAAAGGAACATCAGGAAATGACTGCTTAACAAACGCAAATACGTTAGTATAAAAAAATGTGAGAATAAAAAGTTTATACTCATGATAGTGCAGTGAAAGACCATCAACCTCTGCAAAACCATAAATTTAAAAAATGCTGGCTCAGATGTACAGAATCACAACTGAATGAGTTTTCTAAGTAACCGCTAGCAAAAGTTTCTAAGTAAAGGTTTGGTACAATTATTTGACAACCTCATTAAAAAATAAAAGCATCAGCTGCAAATACAGGGAAGGAATTTCTGAAAACCAAAATGATTAGACACTGTAGTCACAGAAGTGTATATTTATATTACATATAGTCTTATTCTACACAGAGTAATTGATTCCCTTTCACTGCGTTATCTCCTCAACAGAAAAGATTTCCAAATACCTGCGTAATGAAACAACCCCCTCCAAAAAATAACTGATGATAGAGAATCATTCCTATTGTTTTCTCAAACATGGTATCTCCTGCTAGAAAGGAGGCATTCTCATAAGGGTATCTTCAGTTGCCAAAACCTAATAATGAGCATGGACTGTAATTTCTAAATATATCACAAGATTGTGATATACACCTCTCAATGCACAGCTTGCTTTTTGTTTTCAACTACAGAACTGATAAGGTAAAAAAAAAATAGAAGAAGAAAAAGGAAAAAACCTGCCAAAGCCTCATCAACCCAATCCAAAACAGAACACTTGTTTACAGTTCTATTTTAAGATATTCTGCTGAAACAAGTATTGTCAGGAACACAATCTGATAAGCATTAAGGAGATTCTCATCTCGGTTCAACATCAAATGTTTTTTAATTGAGAAAGACAGACCTTAAGATTTACCACATAGTATGTACTTTCCAAATGCTCTCTCAAAACCTCATTTTTTTTTTCCACTTAGCATTCAGTGATCACTGCACTCATTCTCACTATCTAGAATCTGCTTTTGTATCCCATCTGTATCTTTGTTCTGCATGCTTAACTTAAACTGCCAACTCTTCAAAGCAACAATCCTTTCTTCCTCCCAGTTTTCTAAAGTACAACTATGACCCACATCAGGCACTATTAATAGCGTTCATTAACAATGTTTTGCAATAGCACTAGAATGGTCACTCAAGATACAAAGCTTGTTTATGTTTGAATCAAAGCCACAAAAGCCTTGATCTTCTGGTAATTACTGTTAAGCTTAGTAGGGCTCTGCATTATCCAGCAATAATAAGAGCAGCTTATACCTTATAATGTATATAGCTTATACAGTAAATATCTTATAATGATATAGCTTATACAGTAAATACCTCTAACATAAATATCCATCAAAAAGGCTACGTTCTTTTCTGCCCAACAAGTGCCGCAAAATGGCACACAGCTGATTCTCCCTATTCTTTTTGCTCAAATAAAAATCTTTAATTTCCCTTGGCAAGTTTAAATACATGTTATTATAATCTGTGATTTCGTTAGAAGCTGAAAGCAAAGTATTTCACTGCAGCACTCAACTCCAGATAATGCTACAATGGGCAATGAAATCAGCAGAACTGGAACTAGTTCTGAGAGAGCTGTGATGTCCGTGCTATGATGTCCAGCAGTGAAGTTCCACACGGAGACATTACCTCAGGTTGTGAAAGCAGTGTAGCCATGCTCTTCCAGCACAGCGCTGAGCAGACATGACTATATCACTCCTGCACGCAGATCCAGATGAGCAATACCGCTATATACAACTCTGCATCATGTCTCAGTGCACAAGGAGGCATGCTGCAACTACTGTTACAGCCCAGAAGTAATTCCTTCAGCTTAAACAAGGTATTTTATCATAGCATAACCTTGAAATAAATAAGCCAATTGAAAGTGATGAGTTCTTTATACAGATATGAAGGCATGCTAAAAAAATCTCTACTCCTGCTTCAGAGTTGCTTCTTGACTTGTTAACTCATGTAAGTTAAGTAAGGAACAGCAACCAGGCTGTCGCTTTTAAACAGGTTTGTGTACTCTGTAAGATGCCAGCAGTGTCTTTTCACATGCAGGAGAAAATAGCATAACTATTATAATGCAGTCTGTACTAATTAGCATAACATGACAGATAGGATTCATTCCTTAAAGTACTTGATTTTTTTTCTTTTTACAAACTCACATGAAACAAACTCAATGACTCTGAGCAAACTGCTTCCCATAACTGACTATCAAGAGACATTTCTTCTATAGTAATTTATTTGCAGTCTTCTCCTTATTGCATTGCTCAGAGACAGGACAGTGACTGAAGAAATATAAAAAAATCCAAAATATAAAATGTATCAACTACTGTTTTGTTTGCTCTGTTATGCTTCATATTCAGGTACAGAAATAGATACATTGGTTATGAAGGGGAGGCAAGACCTGAAGGCTTTTCCCTCAACTACTAGAACTGTTTATATAAAGGGTCATCTCCCACAACAAGGGACATGACTGGGAACATATAACCACACCAACCCCTGATCCCCATTTAGAATGAGCTCTCAACTGGGACTTCTTCATAACCTTATAGCATAGGGTGGACATCTATTTTATAACAAGTATTACAATATTCTCCTCAGAACTTTGATCTATTCTACTCATTAAGCTATCCTGCTCATTAATAATACATATTCATGTAACCACAAACTGCTAGGGAACAATAAACAAGTCATTCTGACAAGTCATTGTGGAAAAAAGGAATGAACAAATTTACATACACTTGATACACAATTTCAAAACATTAGCTATATCAAAACAATTTTCTGCACAACATCCCAGTCATGCAATGCATGAAAAAGGAAAATGGCCCTAAATAGCACATTTAGTTTTACAAATTAAGAATATATACTGGATTTCATATCCATCTGCTGAATACAGAGTATCAATGACAAATGACACAGTTTAAAAGGATGAGGTAAGAGAATGAAAATAGAATTCATTAGAGAGAAAACACCCTTGAAAATTCTCTTCTGCAAATATATATAAAACTACTCTCTGTAAAAATGTGCATTCTAGCATGGGCTTTCCACATGAAAGTATTCTGATTCATTAATAGAAACAAGTTTATTTGTTGACTTCAAAGTGATTAAAGGTTGCTTTAAAGCTAAAAGCTAATCTGAATCTTAAATATATCCATTAAATAATACATGCTTTTATATTTGCTACTCCGCAAAACATCTTTTACTAAGTAGTAAATACAATCCATGAAAATTCTGGGAGACTTGGAAGTTGTATCTGAAATGAAACCTTTTGAAGTTTTATTAAATTTGCTAATTATGGTAGAAATTTGCAATTTAATAATACCTTCTTATTTCTGAGGTAGGCTTTCTTGGCTGAAATACGTCCACGCCTTGCTTCCAGCTGGCGGATTTTTTGTTGTAACTTTTGCAGCTCCTCTTTTTGCAAGCGTATAGATGTTGCCATATCCTCTTTTTCAAGCATGGCTTCCATACTTTCATAAGTGTCATAATATACCACTTCATCTCTCTTCTCTGTTTTAAAAATGTCAGCAATGAAAAAGTCAAATCAGTAGTTTGTATTTTATTAACATATTGTTTTGATCAACAACAACAACCACCCCCACCGAGTCGCAAGATTTAATGTAGAAGATAGTCCTTTCAGCAGACTATCAAAAATCAAAAGGTCAGAGGAAAAGCACTAAACAGCAAAGCACTGTACGGCTTTAAAGCTTATATAAAGAACAGAAATCAATACCAATGAAGCACAGCTTGGTATTCAGGTAAGCTCAGAGCATTAAAATACAAATGCAATTGTAAATGTACGCTTGTGTCTGTAGCATAACTTGATCACAATGTCCACACATATCTTTGGGGTCTCTTAACTAATACAAGGGACACATGATGTGCAGTAATATCCTCTGGTCTTCACTATGAAGTTCAGGATATACAGACTCTTTCTGAAGTCTTTGATATGAGACTCTTCTGCAACAACCTCCTACTAATTTCAAGAAAGGGGAGTCAGACAACGAAACACCGAAAATCCTCTTTTAGGAGGTTTTCGACCTCCCAGTCACTGTTTCCGCTCAGAGGCAACAGAGGGAGGGTAACTTCCAAGGCAATCCTTCAAAGCATTATAGGCCTGGAAGGGAGGTCATTACTAATAGTTTTATCAACAATCATGTTTTTTAGCCTCCTGAGTGAAGCATTCAGTATAACGTTGAGCTCATCTCTGAATGCTGCCTTCTCATCTCTTGCCAAGAGGGAAAGACTGATGATTATAAGTCCTTGCAGAACGCTGGGATGAAGAACCAGCAAAGGCCTCTTGTTCCTTATTTCACTGGCATACCAAGTAGGATATTTTTGTAATACACCAAGAGGGATATGCATTACTGCTGGCTGAAATAAGCAGATAGAGCTGGCATGACTGTGAAGTGTCTACTCTGCAGCACCACCAAACCTTCTCATTTGAACTTCATCAACTACTTTCAGCAAGACTGTAACTTCCTCTTACTTCTGCTACTAGATTATGTGGGGAGAAGGGCAGGGTTTTCTTCAGTACACTGTCCACTTTAAAAGCTGTTGTCACTTCATGTTATTTGTCATGCTAATTTTAGCTCAGCAGAAGATATAGCTGGACCAGAAAAGAAAGCACAGCACTATATTAACTTTACAATAAAAACTAATAAAAACAGACCTACTACATTCTTTACTTTAGTGCTCATTTCAAAAAGAAACCGACACAAAGTTTCATCCATAGGTAAAGCTGCCAAGTCAATAGAACCCACTTTGAGACATCAGTGAGTAAAAGTAAGACTCTAGGCTAACAACTATTGTATTTTGCCATGAACTTATAAAATGTGAGAACTTACATGAAAATTTTCTTTTACAACACTTCCATGCACAGTTAAAGATAGGAATTTACAAGCGAAACTCCAATAGCACACCTGCAAACCAGTCAAATCTACCATTTATAAAACATAATGTTAAACTATGTTTTACTGTTCAAAAAAACCCCTTGGCAACACTATTGCAACCTCCATCAAACATTCCAAGAATTTTCTACAAACAGCTTATGAGCTTTTGGAATGCCTACAAATTTGCTAAGTGCTTAAAGCTTCTAACGACTCGACCACTTACAATAAAACAAATAGAATTATTCTCTTTTAGATATGATCCACACCATTTGTACTCGTTCAACCCACCCTCCTACCAAAGCAGGAACCTACTATCACATTCTCTATTGACAGCAATGCATCCGTCACAAAACCATTTTACAAGAATCTACAAATAGTTTGTAGGGATAAAGTAAAACCCTTTAAAATTCTAACCTAATAAATTCACATTTTGTGAATTTCAGTGCAGGCATTTGGTTAATGACAGTAAAAAACTACTACTGTTGTTTATAATATGACAATCCATTATCATTTGATACTTTTCAGATCCAATGTGCTGAATTTGACAGTTGGACTTGATGATCTTAGAGGTCTTTTCTTAAAGATTCTATGATTCTATGAATTTGCAAAATAAAATGTTTTTCCTCTAGCTTACAACCAACTGGCAGTCAAATCAAATCACTCTCAAAAAATTCTGTGGAGACTTCATTAGCAGGAACGGTGATGTCCCTCAAATCAAAACAGAATCCAAAATTCCCTGAACTATCTTTGCAGAGGCAATACAGTCAAAGAATAAAGAATAACAACAGCCTCTACAAGTCACTAAGACACATGTATTTCAAATCATACAGATGTGCACAATTAAAAGGCTGTTTCTTGACTGACTATAAGTACACTTTTAAAGGGAACCATAACAGAAGATGCAACAGGCCATTCTTTTTTCTTTGACTGTATAAGAAATAACACATATTAAAAGAACATGATATGTTTTAGATGCTTTCATTCAGATTAGGTGCCACACAGTCTTCAAGAGATGTAGCCACTTCAGTGTCACCTTCTTCACATTAACTGCTCTATTCCCACCACCTAACTAAAGTCTGAAGAGGTAATTTCATCCTTTGAACAAAATACCCTCATATTTAAGAACTCTATTTTTACTTTTCTGTCCTATGGGGTATTAACTGAGGATTGTTAAAAAACAGTAATTCCTTCTAATATAGTCTTTACTTAAAAAAAAAACCCAACTTTTGGATTTTGCATTAAAGAGTACTTCACAAACTTAAAATAGCAAAGGAAGAATAGTGGACTATTTTGGTGCACTGGGGAAAGGAGAGGGTTGTTTGTTTAGCTGACTTGGAGTTTTATTTTGGGTCAGGTTGTGGGGTTGGGGTGGGTTTTTCTTTTAGATTTCTGGAGAAAACATTAGTGACAAGATGCAATGACCTATGATGTTTTTACCTAATATAGACTGCTGTCTTTACTTAAAAAAAAACCCCAACTTTTGGATTTTTGCATTAAAGAGTACTTCACAAACTTAAAATAGCAAAGGAAGAATAGTGGACTATTTTGGTGCACTGGGGAAAGGAGAGGGTTGTTTGTTTAGCTGACTTGGAGTTTTATTTTGGGTCAGGTTGTGGGGTTGGGGTGGGTTTTTCTTTTAGATTTCTGGAGAAAACATTAGTGACAAGATGCAATGACCTATGATGTTTTTACAGCACGCTTAATCTCTGAGGGCCCTTAGGTTTTACTATCACTACATCAAAGAGGAAGAATTCTGATACAGGTTTCTTTTCAGCCTCCTGTTCAAGAGATTTCCTTGGGTCCACAGGTAAGCAAACCATACCATGTCTTCAGTACCAAAATAAGTGTCTGATTTCCCAAGTACAAAAACTATCTATCTCTAAAGCACTAACTAGCTCTCCACAGAGGGACCTGGTCAAAGTTGCCACATTTCTTTAAATCATTTACAGAGTATTCAATCCTCATCTTCCATACCTGCAGTTAACCGTTGTTGCTATCACAAGCCTAAGAGGAGGAGATCCATGTAACAGTGAGAAAAATCCATGATACCAATGTTTTCTCTTTTTCCAGAGGTAACTCACAATACAATCCAGCTTCAAATCGCTTTTCTTAAGTGACTTTCCTATAATCAAATTTGCTATTCAAGCCCTATGCACTAATCAATAAAACAGCTGGTGTGAATAAAAACATTAACTATAGAAAGGTTCAAAGGATAGAACTGGATTCAAAAATGCTGTATGATTTACCTGTTCCATTTCAATAGTTCCTAAGTACACAAGGTATAGTAGGTTCTGGAAATACAAAGTTTGCATCACTGCTCTAAATCAGTGAGACGGTAATACAATAAGCTTCGAAGTTTAGCTGAAAGACTCTGGCTTTGCAAGAATACCTTTTGAAAACCAGTCACTTCAAAGAAATGAGTAATACCAAAGCAAATTGTTAATGAGGCAAGTCCAGTAATTAAGACATTTCCTCCTCCCTGAATTTTGTTTTCCAAAACTTACATAGTATCTTACATGCTTATTTCCAACACAGGCAATCAGAATTTCTGTATGTGTATGTGTATGTGTATGCATATGCCTTACCAACAGGTGCAAATTTTAATTTAACAGTAGTTACATTAGAAGATCCAGTTCTTCATATGGTAAAGAATCTCATTTCATTCCCACAGGCTTTACTAGACTCTTAGGAAGAGAATTATCTTTTACAGATTACGTCTTAAATAAAAGGCATAAAACACCTGACATCAGTCTTCTGATGCTTTCAAGTTGTGCTGTCAGCAGCAGCTCTTCACATTTCAAGATCTCAAACTGCACTTCATATAATTGAAGCTGTAGATCATAATAGTCAGCTTCTAACTGGTCCAAATGGGCTATGGCTTCTGTACCACCTTTCAGGCTCTGCATCTAAATGGGAAGAGAAAAAAAAAACCAACAAAAAACCACAAGACTCCAGGATAAAGAGGAGAACAAAACCACAGACTTTATGATTACAGATAGATACAGTCTGGTACACTAAAAGTAACATGTTAAAATTGAACACATCAAGAGGAGAAGATTGGTTTTGAACAGCCACAAACTTTCAGACATCTTTAATATCTGACATTTTTTCTATATGGCAATGAAAAAATCCATGGCATTGGATTACTCTTTGTGACTGTCAAAGTGACAAATCATATAATGCATAGTGTAAGACATCTCTACCACCCTTTTACTCTACCACTTGGTTCTCTGAAGATATATAATGAAAATAGTATTTTCTTATCTTTAGTCTAAAAAGTCTAAAAGTTGTTTTGCTAACAGCATCTAGAAAAATGCAGTTAAAACTGTCATTAAAGCTGAACTGAGGAAAAAATGTGAAAAGTGGTGGAAACAGGGATAATTACATGCACTGATCCTCTTGTAATGACAACTTAGCTAGGGAATTTCATTGTTTCTGGAGTCCTTCACAGGAGAAAAAAAGATCTAGATTAAAATATTTATATCTATTTTAGCACTTGCTTGTGTCATATGTTTGACATAGAAAAGTGACACAAGACACAACGAATGTGAACTCCAACCATCCTCTTTCATTCAGACAAACAAGATTTAATTGCCCAATACAGTTAGCCATTCAGACCATATTTTAAAAATACTGACAGGCAAAGGAATCTTGTGTGCTGTCTCACTTTGGATGGAATACAAAGCCATGCAGCTTTACAACCTGCATGCAGAAGAGTTACGGCCACATGCAGGTTCTCTACCTGCTCAAAAAAAATATCTCTGATAGCTTCTCCCAGATAATGGATGAAAGTAATTCAAAATTTTACTGAAGATTTGTGATTTATCTACCTTACCTTTCTGATGAAATGTAGTCCAGTGTCTGTATTACAGACATCCAGTCATTAAAAAAAGGATGTCTACCAAGCAAAAATACAGGAGCTAGCAAACTAGATATTTTAAAAAATATTTGCTATTATGTTTTTACATTATGGTGGTTTCTTCGAAGTATAAAACTGTATCTGTAATTAAAAGCCAGAAATGGGTTTCCTCGGTTTTATTTATCACACATGTTTAAATATAACTATACTAGACCAGAAAGGTATCTGTACTGAATTAAATCAAAGATCCATCTTACTCAATATCCTATTTTGTACACAGGCTCACCACAAGTATCCAGGAAGATGAAACATCATAGGCGGTGCAGTGCTACCTCCCTAAATGTTTCACCAGCCTGCAGCACAGCTTCTAGCACAGCTTAAGCCACAATGCTGCCTTTTATACAAAATAGACTTATTTCTTGGATTTACTATTTTATACAAAATAGACTTACTTGGATTTTACTTCATAAACTTGTCCTATCCCTTTTTTTTGTAGCATGTATGCTTTTAGCACTTGCATCATTACCCGTTGACAGGGATTTCACTGCCCAATTAAACACTAAGGACACAGTGCTGTATTACGCTTCTTTCCATACAAGATCGATAGACAGAAGACCTGTGAATCAATTCTTGTAATGTCTGTTTTAAAAATTTCTACTACCATATTGTATACTTACTGAATGCATTTTTTGTATATCAGCTATTAGCCTGAAAGGCTCAGTAAGTCTTTAAGTATCATAAATCTTACAATCAATAATGTATCATTTGTATGTTTCAGTCCAGTATGATACCAAAATGTCATTACACCATTCTATTAACTCTGCTTCCATATTACATTAGTAATTGTGACCAGAACAATAAATGACGTAATGATGGCATATTTGGAGTTAATTAGAGGCTAGTTCTCAAGACAAAAGGACTGATTCTCTTGAACCTTTCAGTTTTTGCATGTAAGAGGGATAATGTTCATTGGTGAGGCAGAGTATCCTAGGTTTTGGCATTTTCAAAGGATTTTCTCATTGTAAAGAAATATACCACAGCAACAAAACATGATGGAGCTTTTTTGTTTTGTTTTAGGATTACTTTGCAAATTAAAGTAATGTCATTCAAACTTCTACCACAACTAAGACTTTTGCTTTGTCAGTAAACTGTGAAATTCACTCAAACTTATACTTTTCTTTTTCCTTTTAAAAAAAGGTGCTCTCAAATTTAAGACCACAGACTTTCTATAAAGACTGCATAGAGACATAAATGGGCCATCTTCAAAAGTATCGGCTAATGAAGTTACAGCAGGTCAGTAATTCATTCAGCCGCAGAGGCGCCTGCCTGATAAAGGACCTGTCTGACAACTGAATCTTAGCCCTACAAGCATACATCACAGATGCTGCCAGCCACCTGGTCTGTTTTAGGGGTACAGCACCACTATATTCAGTTTTCAGGTGCAACAGCAATGGGAAATTAATACTGTCAAATGGTTCTCAGGCAGATATCCTAGCTACGTAACAGCTGCTCATGAAAAAGAAAAATGGAGACCTTTAATTTCAGATATTTATGTTAAAACCTTATGTGAGATACTATATATGTATGATAATTCAAAACAATACTATTCTTGGGAAAATTTCGGCATTTTTTGTTAAAAATTTAAGAGTGGTTCAACTCTTAATGTTACAAGTTGCTCTCTAATCTTTACTAGTAATTGGCTGCATCCTTGGTAGGTCTCAGGCTGATCAACACAGTGAAAGAAACACGAAGAACTTTAATGTGAGTATCTTAGAGGAAAGAAACATTTTGCAGTTGCACGAAGAAATAGAACTGAGGAGATCTGAGTTCAGTTTCCTGCTATGCCACAACTTCCTGCATCAGCTCAAGCAAATAATTTAATCTCTCTGTCCCTAAATCAAGTAACAGTGTTTACGGTCTTTGTTGTCTCATTCATACTAAGTAAAGAACTTAAGCAGGAATTCAGGTTTCTCAATAGTTCTAAGGCAGAAATAAATTATCTGTAAACCCATACATTGGTAATAAAGATATAACAGGTTAAAAGAGAGAGCCTCTAACAAGAACTATGAATACACATACTAAATGGATAGATGACAGAATTAATAGCAAAATAGCCAAACATGGAATACAGAAGAAAGGGCCATCAAATCCAGCTTTCTACCACCATGGAATGCTTTCGGACAAATGTAAAATTAACTGCTTTCATAACTGAGTTCTTAAAATAATTTCCATGTTGTTATTGTTGTTCTTATTCTGCTTTTGTAAAAACAAAAACAAAACAAAAAGCTTCCCACAAAACTCTGTGCTTGTTATTCGTTTTGGAAGTCTGTTCCAGATACTCCCTCCTAACTGCCAGAAAACTTCTTCTCTATTTCCAAGGTATGCACAACCAGATAATACAATTTGTTCTTGTGCCTGTACTGAACAGCAACACACATTGCTCTTGACTAGGATTTATTTCCATTAGTATTTTTCATAGAATCACAGAATGGTTTGGGTTGGAAGGGACATTTAAAGATCATCTAGTCCAACCCCCTGCCCCTGCAATGAGCAGGGACATCTTCAACTAGATCAGGTTGCTCAGAGCCCCATCCAACTTGACCTTGAGTATTTCCAGAGATGGGGCATCTACTGCCTCTGTGGGCCACATCTTCTAGTGCTTCACCACCCTCATCATAAAAAATTTCTTCCTTCTATCTAGTTTGAATCTACCCTCCTTTAGCTGGAAACCATTACCCTGTGTCCTATCACAACAGGCCCTACAGGTGGGCTACTAGACTCTATTCCCCTAATTTTGTGGAGAACAATTTTGATTCATCTCCACTTTATTTGTCAAAACAACTTCAACTCCTCTTGTAAAATAGACTTGCCATTCCTTGCATCATTGCAGTAGCCCTCCCTGCAACTGCTCCAGTTAGAGGTGATCTTTCTTGGGTGATCAGAAACATGTGGAAGAAAGATGTAGAAGAAATCTCACAAATCCATGTGCAGTGCCACTAACACTTCTCCCTTTGCTGGAAATACCTGATTTGACAGACTGGAGAGCATTTGCTGCTGTACAAACCTGTAGCATTGGTGGCTCACTCGCGTTGCTACCAGGTTATAAAATCATGGTCACTCTCATCTGCTGTCATTTAAAAAGTAATTAACCTGCAGTTCACTTTTCTCTAGCAATACATATTAATAGCTATTATTAAATTTTCTGTTATCCAGCCTTTTAAATAATCTGTCACTGTTCAACTAGAATACAGAGTCATGTTTCAATCCACCTGATGTGAATCCTGACTGTTCTCTAGTTCAAGTATTCATTTTAGTTCATCACTGTTGTCTGAGAAATCTCAGAAGGGAGTAAAATTCAGAGAAAAAAATCTCGGGTCTTTAAGTGTGAATATGGAAGGTCACCCTAAAAACCAACAGAAAATAATTTCAAAGAATTTCTAAATTATTTTAAGGGAAACACTGAGTACTCTGACCACTGATAAAAGGCAAGTTCTCACCCAAACCTAGCTACTTGTGGAACAGATTATTCCTCCACCCAGTGAAATATCAGGAGTCAACTATCATCAGGCCATGATACTACAGGATATAATAATATAACAAAATAAGGTTAAGAGGATAACTCACAATTAGTATCCTGGGCAATAACAAAAATTTCAGACACTAAAAGAAACATCTTTTCCCCATGAAAAGGGTGTACCACTGTTTTTATAAATTTGCTTTGACTTTTTTTTCCAAGACTAAATGTTCAAAAATGCATAGACAACCTGCTGAA